GGGGCGGGGGCAGGGGCAGGGCGGGGGGGCTGCTCTGAGGGCCTGTTCTCCCCTGCTAGCGCCACACCTGTCTCTTGCTTTGCAGTGGAGAACCCAGCGCACTGCGAATTCCCCCTGCTCCGAGACCTGCTCATCCGGTGAGCACCCGCCCTCCTTGCAGGCAGGCTGGGTCGGGGGGAGGGCTGCCCCTGGGAGGCCAGTGATGGCCATGGAAGGTGTCACGCACCGGGGAGGTCTGCATGGGGCTGAGCCCTGAAAGGGGAGGCCATGGAACCGCGGGGCAGCCCTTGGGGGTTGGGCAGCGGGGGAAGAGGGGTGCTAGAGGGACTGGAGCAGCCCTCCCCCTCCGCTGGCAGCCCGGCTCTGCCTCTCACCATGGGGTGGCTTTTCCAGCACCCGCTTAGCCAGACCGGGGGCCCCTGGCAGCCAGGCCCAGGGAGCTGTTCTGCCCCTTTCCCCCCCGCCTCTCGCTTCCCCCCCGCAGGTCCCACCTGCAGGATCTGAAGGACATCACCCACAACGTGCATTACGCGAGAGCAACCAGCCGGCGCTGGGGAAGAACGACATGGAGAGCAACCTCTGAGCCGCCGGAGCGGGGCGCCCTCCCCCCGGGCAGCGCCCCCAGCCTGGCTGAGGGGGGAGGAGCAGCCACCAGCCCTGCTGGGGTCCCCACCCCCTGGACAGAACCCCTCCGTTCTCACGGCCCTGCCCACGCGCCCCACTGCGGGGCCGGACACCGTCTGCCGATGCCCCGACCTCTTCCTGCCACGCAGGGGACATGCCAGGTGCTGCCTCAAGGGCCCCACGGCTCCCCCGCTTCTCCCGCGCCCGGCCCGCTTGGCACGGAGCTTGCAGGCCCCATGTCCCCTGCACCTCTGCTCCTCAATAAGCCCGCCCTCCCGGAGGGGCCCCCGCCTACCACATGGGCAGACTGTGTCTCTGGGGCCTGTGGGTCTGCCCCCCGAGACCTGAGCAGCACCCCCTGCTAGGCCTTCCCCGTCTCAGGCACTGCCCCTGCAGCCTCGGGCCCGGGCCTCTGAAAACAGCCGCACCCGGTCTTCCCCAGTGGACACGGAGCCCCGCCTGGCCTGCTGCCCTGCGCCCCCAGCTCCTGTGGGAGGCCTGGATCCCCCACGAGGGCAGCCTGCAGTAGAGCACCCCTCCCTTGTGGGGCAGAGAGCCAGCCCTTCCTCCAGGGGCCGAGTGAAGCTCTGGGAGGTGGAGGACAGCCCTGGGGCTTTGCTGCCGGGCTCTGCCCCACCCTGCAGAGGGCTAGAGCCTGGAGCTGCCCCAGGGGGCTAGGAAAGGGGGGATGGGCAGGGCTGAGGTTTGTGGGATGGCGGGGGG